AAAATTGTGGTATTGTTTGTCTATGTCTTTTTTCCCTATTTGTATCCCCTATCCCCCCCCCCCCCTGACTTGGGTTGTGAGCCGCCCTGAGTCCCTTCTGGGAAAAGGGCGGCATAGAAATATAATAAATTCAATTCAATTCAATTCAAGACATGTGTCATCCTCTGCATTGCTGGGATTACATTTTATAAAATTTACAGCCAGCATATTGGCTAGAATTACTGAACATTATGAAGTCATCACATCTAGAGAATATCAAGTTGTAGATGAATACACTATGCTGTGTTGCCAATGTAGAGCCTGGATATCACAGGAAGCAATGGACAGCTAAGTGAACATGTCCCATTAATGTTTGCAACTATTTTTTATTACATGCTCTATTTTCTGGTACCTGGTCTTGGTCAATCTTATTTTACCCTTAGGACATGATTAGGACATGACCCTTAGGATCATTTTTCAAAGCTTTCTCTTTCTGTTTTCTCTCTTAGGTTTTTGGAAGTTAAATACAAGATAAGAAGTGGATGCATTGGTTTTGCTGTCATTTAATATGTGCAATCTCTAAATTTGAGCACAAGCTACTACTCCAAGCCATTGTTTGTGGGGAAATGTTTGAGTAAACAACCTATTGTAGAATAGTTGAATTTTTCCAGTAAATCTGAATCAATAGCATACCCTCCAGAGCTTGAGATTAATGGGATGCAGTTGATTGCAGAATAAATCAGCAGATTACTCTATACAAAACACCAAAAGAATCAGTTCTGCATAGAGATCTTGTGATCTCATGCAGGGGAATTGGGATGCAATTTCTATGTCAATTTGTAAAATTATAAAATGTTGAACTGGGGTTGGGGAAGAAACAAATGAAGCTCTTTTATAAAAATGGAAGAGGATTGCCAGATCATAATGCATTGATCCAAGTGCTAACTTCAACTATTTTAACGTCACAACATTCATTTTGTATTACATCAAACTAAACACATTCCTTAAGATGGGTTTTCAATAATTTGCATTCAGATTACATAATTACAATCACAGGTAACCTTACTACCATCTTTTTCTTTCAAAATGTTTAGTGGTTTTAATTAATAATACTTAACAGAGGTTGTTTATTACTGTTGAAAGGTCAGTTGAAGTAGCCACAAGAACATCAAACAGTTTGGTGTCACCTATATTTAATAATTTTGTATTAATTTTGTAGATATTTAGGACTTGGACTACCATGAAACAAGTTGAAGTAGATTTGAAAGGGGAATGAATTTACTATTCTTACTTTCAAAGAAGACAAGATGCCTCTAGGATTCTCTATTTCATACAATAAATTGATTTGGTTAGTTTTGTAATAACACCTTCACTTTAGTTGGTGTATGCTGCTATTTCTTTCACAGGCATCAAAATACTTCAGAATATCTCTGCAAACACTGTTTCTTCCTTCTTTCTACAATCCAACTTTTATATGGACCAAGTTATTCATCTGTTCTTTGTCAGACAAAACAGGATTTTAATATTTTCCAAATTAGTGAGCACTTTCAAAGGCATACTAATAAAAGAAGAAATTACAATCTAATCATTTATTTTAGAATAGAATAGAATTCTTTATTGGCCAAGTGTGATTGGAAAAACAAGGAAATTGTCTTTGGTGCAAAGTGCAATTTCACTGCAATTGTGACTTACAAGAGAAATCTCAGTTTCTGAGCTCAGCCTCTATATTGTACAATTACTAGTTTGTCAGACAATTTTTATTTCCACAAAACACTACATACATTCAAGTCCTCAATTTTAATGACTCATATTTTTCCTTACTGGCTGCTAATTATGAAATTAGTGAATGTAAAATGCACACCAATTTTACATTCACAGGGATGTAAATGAATATAGTCATAAATTTATACTGGTTTAAACTGCAAGGGTCAGATATCCACAATTATACTAAATTTAGAAGAATGCTGACAAACTTGGAAGTCTGCCCCAAATTAATCTATTTCCTCAACACTAAGTTATTCAGAAAGTATCCTTTGTAAGTAAAGGTAGGAAACAACACTTCAAGAGTTCCAATACAATACATTTAATTGATCAAAACTAAATCTCACAATCTAGAAAGCTGGAAGAAGTCAGTAAAACTTGAGAAATTCCATCTCTGGGCAACCACTTAAAAAAAGGTATTTCTGTCTCTCTCAAGCTAGAGTTTTTAAAAAGGAGGGGTCAGCTTCACTTTGCCACTGTTCATTGGGCTTCTTCGATCCCAATGAAACTCCTGGTTTCCCAGTTTGATGCCTGCCAAGTTAAAAAATGTATCCCAAATAAAGTGGTATAACAGCATATAGGAATGTCCTTGGGACCCACAAGGAAGAGTCACAGGCTGCACAACCAGCATGTATTTATCAGTCCATGGAATGAAAGGAAATGTGGAAAGGTTTGCAGAAGAAATCCTCCCTGGTTTTCTGGAGAGGGAAACAAGGAGGGGGGGGGGAGATTTTTAAGTTTGCAAGATTCTATTAATGTAACCTTACAATAAAGATAAGAGTTAATATTCATAGTTGTACTTCTTGTCTGAGCTTCCTCGCAGGTAAGATTAGAGAATCAGAATGAGTCATCTAATGAAAGCTAGTTGCAAATTATTATTATTTAATTATATTATTGATTGAACCAAGCTGGGCTTCCTTCCTTCCTTCCTTCCTTCCTTCCTTCCTTCCTTTCTTTCTTTCTTTCTTTCTTTCTTTCTTTCTTTCTTTCTGTTTTTATCCTTAGTCTTACAACTAATATGTGTATGAAACCTGGAAAATTAGTTGCAACCTTAAACCTATAGGAATCATGAAATTTTCCCCCATTCAGTTCTCCATTTATTCCTTTATCTTATTCTACAAAAGAAGCAACTTGTATCTTCTTCTGAAACAAGTAGTTACATTAAGACAAGGAACTTAGCCTCCAAGGAATCTTGGTGACTCCGCTAGCTACAAAAAGCCAAGGGAGCTGAGTACAATGAGATAGTTTTTCATTCACTATCTCTTGACTAAGGGTGCAGAATGGAATTTTCTGTTTAATAAGGGGTGATGGGGGCAATAATAAGAAAACAACAGTAAGGACTAGATACAGGAATGACTTAATCATTTACCCAGATTAAGGGAGTCATAAGGGCCAATCTAAACATCCTTTCGTAGAAGCACTCAACAAATTGTACATCTGTAGACATTTGGTAGATTTGGGATGTGGTGGCTCAGTGGCTAAGATGCTGAGTTTGTCAATCAGAAGTTTGGCAGTTCGGTAGTTCAAATCCCTAGTGCCGTGTGATGCAGTGAGCTCCCGTTACTTGTCCCAGCTTCCGCTAACCTAGCAGTTCAAAAGCATGTAAAAATGCAAGTGTCATGTTCCAGGGTTCACGTTGCATACAAACAGAGATTCAGTTTGTTTGGTGAAAAACTTTTATCTCTATCTAAGAAACTACNATTTCTGGTCTGACATGGAATTGGCTGTAGTGATCGGGTTTACTGTTGTTGCAGTTACAGCAATAATATATAGCTTTAAGAATTCACCAACAACTCTAGACTTTTTTCCCCTATTTGTATCCCCTATTCCCCCCCCCACCCCGACTTGGGTTGTGAGCCGCCCTGAGTCCCTTCTGGGAAAAGAGCGGCATAGAAATATAATAAATTCAATTCAATTCAATTCAATTCAATTCAATTAAAATTATGATTTTAGTGGTCCCTGAGGTGCAAAAGATTGGTGACCTCTGGTTTAAAAAGTCTAGAGTTGTTGGTGAATTCTTAAAGCTATATATTATTGCTGTAACTGCAACAACAGTAAACCCGATCACTACAGCCAATTCCATGTCAGACCAGAAATAAATATTTAACATCCACAAGATGGGTTCATATGGCATTAAAACACAAAAAGATACTGCCAAGCTCAGCTTCAAGGTTTGCAAATGAGATAGCTAGAAAGAGACTTTCAATGTTTTATATTTATATTTATATCTATATCTAACAACTCCCCCAGAGAGCTGAATGGTTCAGTGAAGATTAAGCAGCTACGGAATGTTGAGTGATGCTTCTGGGAGGAAACATAAAAGGAAAGGGGAGAAGAGAATGAAGTTTCCTAGAGAAGGATATTGAGCAAATGCCAAAAAATTTGAAGAGCAATTCTCCTGCTGCGTGAGGTTACGGGGAAAGATTTTATAGATTTGCTTGTATTTGGGCACACGAGTAAATTTGGACAAATATATTTTTCAAAGCCTAAAACTCTTCAGCTTAACACACACACACACACACACACACACACACACACACAAACACACCCATTTCCCAAAATCTTTATTGTAACATTCAGATATATAACGTAGTTTCCTTCTAATGAAAAAAAGCTTGATTGCAGAAAATATGACTTAAGCAACAGAGTGGTCAACGCCTGGAATGCTCTACCTGACTCCAATAGTACATCGTCATATCCTCACAGTTTCAACCTTAAACTGTCTATCGTGGACCTCACCCCATTCCTAAGATGTCCATAAAGGGGGTGTGCATAAATGCGCCAGTGTGCCTACTGTCCCTGTCCTACTGTCCCCATCCATTTGTATTCAATTCCTTTGTTCATGCCCATGTTCATACTTACACCTGCTATCTTGTACATGTTTGACAAACTAAATAAGTAAATAGAAATGTGAAATTGCAAAGCTAAAATTAAGCAGCCTACTAAATATGTCTGAAGACTGTCACAAGATTATTCACCTCAAAATCCAGATCTGGTGCACACAACGTGTAACCCAAGTTCAAGGTAACTCCTTACCAACCCACAACTCCTCACTCATGTCAAACTAACAAAGCAGGACATCCAATATATCCAGATCATCATGTTCAGACAAAAAAAAATATATACTTACTGGCTACCTCCAGGGAGGCATTCCTGCTGACAGCCTCACCCAGATAGTTTCTAGCGACACAAACATAAACGCCTTCATCCGGTTTACTCCTCCGTCCATGCACGATGCGCAGGAAGAAGAGGGAGCCACTGGGCAGCAGCATGCGATGAGACCGGGGATCTTCCTTGTCGGTTTCCACTCGTTCACCATCTTTGTACCACTCAATGATGGGCGTGGGCCGCCCTTCGGCTTTGCAGTTGAGCGTTGCTGGTTCCCCCTTAGATACAATGAGGTCGGACGGATGCTCTATTATCCGTGGAGATGAATCCTCAAGGCGAGGACGAGAAGCTGAGGTTCAAGAAGTAGAAAAAGAAAGTATTAACTCCAGGGGAAGATCAGGAAGACCCCAAAACAAGGAAGGGCAAGTTATCAGGGAACCAATTGAAGGATTTATGGAGATTCTCAGTCACCCAGGTCACAGTTCTCTCAAAGTTGCTTTTTGAAAAGGCAACTGGACTGTTCGTGTTTTTTTCTCTCTTGAAGATGTTGTGCTTCTCATCCAATAAGCATCTTGGATGAGTCAGAACTGAAGATACTTCTTGGACGAGTAGTGAAACATCTTTAAGAGATAAACATAGAAAGTCCAGTTGCCTTTTGAAAAAGCACCTTTGGGACAATTATGGGGTTGTGATCTGCTTTAGATTCTATGACTGCTAGAGACATGCATTTTCTCACCATCACCACCCCCATATCAAGGCAAGCTCCATCTTTCACTCCTTTCAGGTTAGAGAATTCCTTTATCAACTATTATGGCTTTAAGCACAAGCAGGGACATTAATACTTTATAATATCCCAAACCATCTTGAGAAAATGGGAAACCAGCCCCAAAGCAATGGAATGAAACGCAGGAAGGATAAACACAATGGCCTTCAAACAGGCCCGTATTTTGCACACCTAGGAACAAGATAGGAAATGGTTGTATAAAAAGCAATAACAATGGTCAACTTGTAGAATGTGCGGAGGAAAAAGTCCTGTAAAGAATGTTGCAGTTGGAATATTTCCAGCCTGGAGAAGATTGAAGGTAAACATGACATCCTTCTTCAAACATCTAAAGACCCAGGGCAAGAAGCAATCAGAGAGATAAAGATCAGAAAGGCCTTTCACAAAGATTATGGCTTTATTAAAGACATCTTGCCAACTCTCTGCTTTAGTTAATCAAGGAGAATTGAGACCTCTCTTTCAGAAGAAAACAAAAGCATATTTCTAGATGAAAATTGGTGCTTCACAAGAGGCACAAAAGAAGAAGTGGCTTTCACATAAACAACAGCCCCCAAATTTGTGTCACCCCTCCAGGATATATCAGACAGGAAACATGACTAGATGCGCTAATTGTAATTTATTGTAAGGCTACTAGCAGGCACAAAGAATTGGGACCATCGAATAAACTGCAGCATAGAGTATTTATTCAAGCCTACAGACAAGAATATGGTCAACTAAAGTTCAATACTAAATTGGTACCACTAAATTGGTTTTAAGCACAGGACTCAGGAGGGGTTGGACTTCGAGCACTTATGGGAACGCAACAACCCTAAGCTGATGACATACTTAATTCCACCTCCCCCAGTTCTGCTTGCTCTTCAGCTCCGTTAACAGAATTTGACAGGTCTGAAGGTACAAATGTCCTATTGCCACTTTTAACTGCTTCATCCACCAAGACAAGTCCTTCCTAAGTTTCTGTCTCTGGCCCTTAAGCCACTCATGGCTCCTGCCTCTCCTCTCAGATTATTTCCTAGGCAGCATCTTTTCCCCACATCGTTCCTTAAATAATTTCCCCATCCCGATAGAGTACCTTTTAAAAGAAATTAGTTTGAAAATTAATTATCCAATCTATCAATTGATAGATGAAATGTTAATGTCTTAGCAAAAGGAGAGAGAACTTTGAGCTCAGCTTACTTAGGTTACGTTTGGGGAAAAACACTGATATTTGGCTTCCCTTTATAAATTGGATGCAAATTGGATGCCTACAACACTCAACCTGGAATTTTAACTTTTACCTAGATCTCCCATTTCCAAATTTACTCATGACTTCACATTTGGCCTTGGGACCATTATCATCTTACTTTTTAACTTACTTATCAATTTTTATAATATCTGTGGGAGACCAAAATCACTGCTTTTCCCTCATTCCTGTCTAAAGGGCAGTAAACAATATACTGTAGACTAATTTACATCAATTTATTTATCTAACGTCACAAAAAAAAATACCCACCTTCTCCCCACGCCATATCTTTAATATGTTAAGACAATCCCGCTCTATGTCATACAGAGAAGGCAAAGAGAAGCCACCTCAAAAATCTGTTTTAAAGCTAGGATTTTATGGTTGGTGTGCTTAATTTGTTGATCATATTTTTTTTTTAATTTTGTACGTCCGCCAGAGAAACCATATGAATCACTCCATCAACAAAATAAAATCGTGCCAGAGTTCCCAAACATGCCACATAGGAAGGCAATGGGCCAAACTTTGAGAATCTTTCTTCCCATAAATGATCTGGGAAGGAGCATACGCTTCCATTTGCCGTGAGTCCAGAATACAATGCCTAGCCTAATTTGTGCCGAAAGAAAAGAAACCCCTTGACCCCAGATGAAGCTTAAAAGCCAGAATCCCAGCTGAGGCTGGAACATATACAGACACACACACAAAAAAGAGGCCATCATTTGAGACGCCAGGGAGAAGTGTTATCGGCAGGCTGCAGTGATCAATAGCTTTGAAATCCTAAACTCTGATAAGCACTAGGATTATTGATTAATTCACCTATCACAGCAGTGACCTCACACATTTCAAGATCCTCCAGCCAGGACAGAACATTTTAATTGTTGCTTGCTTACCCAGAAAAGAATTCTGGATATGTGTTCTGGACACCGAGTATATGTTTTAGTTGTACGTGTAGGTGCGCATGTGTGCGCACACCAGGGGTAGGTTCCTGCCAGTTCTAATCTCATCTATAGGAGAGGTTCCACAAATCTACTGTGCCGTTCAGAACCGGTTCCAGCTCCCTCCCCCTGCCTGTCCGCACCATGCTTGCCCCGCCCACTGCTCACTGATTGGCTGGCTCACCAATCAACCCACCCACCTCTAAGAGAGAGACATAGAGAGGGGGGGGGTATATATATGGAGGGAGGGAGGGAGGCAGAGCTGATGAAGGAAGGAAGATGATAGATAGATAGATAGATAGATAGATAGATAGATAGATAGATAGATAGATAGATAGATAGATAGATAGATAGAT